GTTAAACTGTCATTATTTGCTGATAACATGATACTCTACATAGAAGACCCAGAAAACTCTGCCGAAAGACTTCTAGACTTAATTGCCAGACTCAGTAGAGTAGCTGGATACAAGATCAACACTCAAAAATCAACAGCCTTCTTATACATGAATAGCAGACTCACTGAGAGAAAAATTAGAGAAACAATTCCTTTTACAATAGCATCCAAAAAAATGAAATATTTTGGAATCAGTCTAATGAAGGATGCAAAAGCACTCTACATTGAGAACTATAGCACTGAAAAAAGAATTGGAAGAGGATATAAGAAAATGGAAAGACGTCCCTTGCTTCTGGGTAGGAATAACCAATATAGTGAAAATGGCCATACTTCCAAAGCTGCTATACAGATTCAATGCAATCCTGACTGAAATCCCAACAGTATATTTCACCAAACTAGAAAAAATGATCCAAAAATTCATTTAGAACCAGAAGAAACCTAGAATAGCAAAAGCAATACTAGGCAATAGAGACATGCCAGTGGGTATCACAAACCCCAACTTGAAACTATACTACACAAAGCCAGTGATAAAAACAGCATGGTACTGGCAAAGAGACAGCCCCAAGGATCAGTGAATTAGATTAGAAGATGCAGAAACAATGCCAGGCACACTCAGCCACCTTATCTTTGACAAAGAAGCCAATTATCCTCACTGGAGGAAAGATAGCCTCTTTAATAAATGGTGTTGGAAAAACTGGATTTCAACTTGCCAAAGATTAAAACTAGATCCCTATCTTTCACCATGCACTAAACTAAAATGCAAGTGGATTAAAGATCTAAATATTAAGAAAGAAATACTAAACTTGCTGGAAGACAAGTTAGGTACTCTTGAAGACATTGGCATAGGAAAAGACTTTATCAACAAAACCTCAGTAGCACGGGAACTAGCAAAGAGAATCAACAACTGGGATCTCATCTTTTTAAAAAGCTTCTGCATTGCAAGAGAAACCACCAACAGAGCTAAGAGACAATCTACAAGGTGGGAAAAAATTTTTATCAGCTGTTCCTCAGACAAAGGACTACCATCTAGAATACATAAAGAACTTTAAAAAATCAGACCCCCCCAAATTCAAAGACCTAATTCAAAAATGGGCATCTGAAATGAACAGGTATTTCTCAGACAAAGAAGTAAAAGCAGCAAATAAACACACAAAAAAATGATCAACATCACTGGTCATTCGAGAGTTGCAGGTGAAAACAATGCTGAGATTCCACCTCACCCAAGAAAGAATGGCTGCTATCAAGAAATCAACCAATAACAAATGCTGCCAGGGTTATGGGGAGAAAGGAACCCTTTACCATTGCGGGTGGGAGTGCAGACTGGTGCAACCACTGTGGAAGTCAGTATGGAGATACCTCAAAAACTAGGACTAGAGGTCCCATTTGACCCAGCTCTTCCCCTGCTGGGTATTTTCCCAAAAGAATTAAAAGAATCATACCACAGTGATATATGTGCACCCATGTTTATAGCAACATAGTAATAGCTAAACTTTGAAAACAGTCCAAGTTCCCATCAACCAGAGACTGCATACAGAAGATGTGGTTTTTGTATAAAATGGAGTACTACTCAGCCATAAAGAATGAGAAACTAGAGACATTTATGCCTACATGAATGCACACTGAGGCTACACTATTAAATGAAATAAATAGGACACGTGTAAATACTGAATAGTTTCTCTGATGTGAGAAACTGAAAGTGTAACTAAGAATCAAAATGTGTAATTGATAATGTGAAATAGGAAGAAAAAATCTAAAGGGGTAGGGGAAGTGGGAGGGGAAGGAGAAAGAAAAAAATGAGAAAAGGAAAAAATGGAAACAAAGTCTTTGTAAATAGGGAAGGGTGGAGAGGGTGAAGGGAGGGTAGGGGAATGGGGGAAAAATAAGAACCAAGATACATCATGTACAGGTACAAGTTCCCAATGATGAATGTAACTGAATTGTGTACCTAAAATGTACCAGTGAACTTAATGAAAAAAGAAAAGAATAATGTGAATCTCTCCCTGCACCATAAAGAAGAGAGAGATAGGACACAAAGGGTTAGTGAGCTCTTAGATGTGTTAATGGGAACGCTTTCCCTTTCCCTAGTCACTGCTTAATATGATACAGTCAAGACGCTGGCCTTGTGCTCACCGAAACCCCACTGAATCCAAGCACAGCCTTACCTCTAGGTCCTGGGCTCTTTTTCTGGGGAGAGGCTCAAATAAAAAATACATGTTGCTTTCAAATGCTAAAGAGTAAAGATCAAAGTAGTATTTGGCATACAAACCGCCAGACACGTTAACATTATACTTGAGCAGGATCAAGTAATGCCTTTCCAACTCATTTCTGGGGAGGAAAAACAGCAAAACAAATACAGGACAATTTTAGTCAAGTGAGCCATCTTAAAAAATGTCATTTTGAGGCTCTAGGACTGCTGTAAATTCTGTTTTGAGACCTAGGAAGGCTACCCAACTGGAAGAAAACACTCATGTTCCAACAAAGCACAGCTATTTTCTGTATCTGGATGCTTTCTGTATCCCAACACTTTCGTGTTTGGGTGGAGGGGAAAGGTTATGCCCTGCCCATTCCCGCCTGCTGTGGGCTTTTGGCTTGTTCTTCAGAGTCCATCGACACACCTGTGTGACTCACACTCCACACGTACTCATGAGGCCCCACTACAATGAGCAAAAAGGAAGTGATGTGTGCTGTTTCTTAGCTCTGAAGAGCTTGCAGCCATCTTCAAGGGGCTCCTGAGAGGAAGGACTTAAGAGAGGTAGTGAGGCACCAACCAAAGAACCACCACTTCTCTCTCTGAAGGGAAAACTCTTCAGGTGACAAGCATTCATCAGAAAGAAAAAAACAAACTGCACTGTGTGGGAAAGGCAAACACCTCCCTGTGGCAGCAGATGAGGCCATGTCAAAGGGCACCTTCTTATTACTAAGGTGACAAACTGTGACCATGACAATTTTAAACTTGGGAAGACAGAAAGGTTCTGGCTGGAGTAAAACCACTGTAGCACAGGACCTCTGGCAGAGCACTGGACTCACAGTCTCATCTCTGAGCAGTCCTCTGCTGCGGGGCCATGCAGCTGCCTGTGCACACTCAATACACAGAATGAGAGACCCCATCAGACCGACTGCTACACACAGCCCCTCTCCTAGCCAGGAGGAGCATGGCAATCTGGAACATTTCCTGGTGTACGTCCCGGTTATTCCAAGGACATGCGTTCAGATGAAAACCTGACAATGTGTGGCTCAGGCGGAAGCTATACTCAATAGTTCACTGGCCCTATGACCTTAACAGTGGCCAAACAAAAGCCAGGCACAACAGCCCTTACAGAAGGGACTGGGCCTAGCAACTTTTAAAAAGCCATGAAGAATGTCCTGTTCTATGCTATTCCGGTGGTAATCTTGTAAGATGTCTGGCAAAACCACCAGAAAAATTTCTACTTACCGAGTATATCATTTAAATAATACTCTATGAAAACCTAGCAATTAATGATGGAAAATTTGAATATTTATACTGTAGCTGGACACAAAGTAATCATTTTGTGCCTGTTTCCATTTTCTGCATAAAGTGATATTTGAAAATATTTCTTAAAATGCAAAGTTTATAGGAGGAGGTAAACTGGAAAATGGCTAGATAGCCCACTGAAGCCTTATACACTCACATGTCCTTGAGCGAAACATCCCCGAGGACCTTGCAGAAGTCTATGTTCCACACAGCCTTGTCCTGCCAAACCTTGGCGGCAAGAAGAATGGCTCCCAGCAGGATCCTTCTCCAGTTAGCAGGACAGACATCTATCTCAGCATACGACACAAGCCTTTCTAAGTAGACCTGCAAAGAGGAGAACACTGTTCTGTGATTTCAGCTCTGTGTAAGTGCTGTGCGAAGACAGATTACTGTGGCCAGGGATTTAGCTCAGTGGTGCTGTCACCTGCCTCGCAAGCACAAAGTTCCGAGTTCAATCTCTGGTACCAAAAAAAAAAAAGACTACTGTGAATGACTGGTTCCTTCTATGTCTGAACAGAGGGGAAGTCCCTCCTACTTCTGGGTGCTATAGAGATTCTGTTCACAGATGGAAATCAGACACCTCTGCTGCTCATGTATTTCCTGTCTAACTTTGGTGACAGGATGACTGGACAGCTCAGGCAAGGTTGTCCAGCAGTGTGGCACTGTTATCACACTCACGGAGGCCACAGAGACAGGCCTGGTATAGAGCTGTTCAATAAATGCTGAGCTTCTTCAACATGCACTGTAGCTTTCCCAGCTGGTAGTTTCAGAATGGTTTTAGACAGGTCATGGTCAAACGTAATGCCTGACTCAGAGAGAGTACATTTTTATCTTCTTTTCACTGTATGTACCCTTTTGTGGCACTATCTGGTGGACAGGAGTGCCTCCCAGTGACAGCTGAGCGGAGCACCACGTCAGGTGCAGGACTTCAAGCTGTAGTTTCCTCAAACTCAGGGCCTTTATAAAGAACCTATGTGTAAACAGGATGGTCCTTCTTGGTGCCTCTGTTTTCCCATCCCCACTCCTCATGAAAACCCATTCTCCCTCCTACATACTCAGAACCTCAGTCCATTCTGCTGGCTTCATGACAGGAAGAACAGAGCTGCCAGTCTATTCCTGGGACTCATAAACTTCCATGCAGTTGGTGAGACAATCTCACATATTCTTTATGTACATCAAACATCTATTCCACAAAGAACTGGGTGAGCTACCCTCTGAGTAAAGACTGTAGAGGGAGCTGTGATTTGCTGTTACTTAAATCTGAGTGATAGAAAAGTCTGCAGATGCTCAAGTCCCTCATATAAAATGGCTTATGGTTTGCACATAATCTACGCACCCCCTCCCACAGACTGTAAAGCAGTTCTAGGCTACTTACAACACAAACTTCAATGTAAATGGCAGGTAAAGGAAGTTATACTATATTGTCATGCACAAAAGGACAAAAAAGGACGTAAATTTTCCCTAAATGGTAGAAATTGTAGATGTAGCGCTCACAGACATGGCATGCTATTTGAACTCTTTGTATCAAAACAAAAAGAAAAGGCTTTATAAATCTTATAAATTATTTATCATAAATGATAAAATCTCACCTTCAGAATTCTGTATGGGTAACACAAAGCTCCTCAGCTCCTCAGGCTAACAAAGCTTTTCTAAGAACTTCTGGACTGCCATCCTGGGCAGCATTGCAAGCAGACACCAGTGCTTAGCAGGGATGGACTGATGCCCATAACCAGGGAACAGAGAGCTGAAGGCAGTGCAGTGTCTGAGGACACAGCCTGGGACCTGGCTTGACCTGCACAGAACAAGTCTCTGTGGCTCACGGGGCCCTGTTCCTGCTCTCCTTCCCACCCCACAGTATGTGTAAGGGCTCATGGTGTTAAGTGAGCATGTGCACTGAGGTATGGGGCAAAACTCTCCAACTGCCTTTAACTCTTTTGTGGTAAGAAAAGTGAAGACATCATTTTAAATAATAATGATTATGGGACCCAAGTATGCTTATTTGCTTTCCTCTGATAGGCTTCTCTTAATAAAATTCTCATGATAATTTCAGGAGTTTAATTTGAAAAAAAAGACCTTGCTCTGTGTACAAGACCAGTTTCTAAGCATCCTTGATAAATAAGTAACATCTTACCAAAGTTATTATTGCACATTCAGTTGGTACCATTGCAACATAAAAAATAAAGGCAACAAATCTGTAAATACAGCTGTGTTCAGGATCATGCTCAAAGTATTCCTCTGGATGCTTCTCTCTCTGAAAAGAGAAATGATGCAATATGAGAATCCACTGAAGAAAGCTTTTAAGTACTCTTAAGACAGCAGTCTTCACCTCTCACCCCTGTGTTCCTTAAGTAATTTCAGTTGGGTTGTATGTCTTTTCATCTTCAACTAGAAACACTGGAACCTTTTACTATGCATAATGACACTTTGGTGAGTGAAGACCACAGTGGCCCCATGAGTGACCACCTTGTGTGCCACCACCACTTCACTCTCCATGAGGGCTGCACAAGGTGGAGACGCTGTCAACATATCTCTCGGGATGTGCTGCACTGGTGAGCCACACAGAAGGCCACAGGCTCAGAAAATCAATACCCCTTGCTACTTTTGCCTCCACAAATTCATCTTTAGCCTGAAAGTCTTTTTGATTATATGCTGTATTCTTTGTAATAAAGTCTAAAATGATATAATTAGTGTCCTGCAACCACAGCCTCTAGGGATGCAGTCATATACAACAGTCAGCAGCCATGTGACTAATATGCCTGAGGAAGTGACTTTTTACATTTTTATGTCATTTTTAACCTAATTCTCTCCTTAGAGATTTCACATGTTATGAGATTTATTAACTAATGTTTATATTTTTTTGATGCTACTGAAAATTATTTTTTGAAAAGCTACATTTTCTGTTATTTGGGCAGTACCTTTTTACCTTAGATCAAAAACAAAGCTGCAAGTCACTTCTCTATCACAGCCCTGAAAACCCCTCATTTCTGAGAAAGATGCAATACAACATGAGGTGGAAAAGGATGTGATTTAAATTCAAATAGAAGAGTGTGACTGACTTCTGGCAATTCATGTCAAAGGAAAATAGCATGAAAGAAACACAACTCCATGAAGTAAAAAATTATAATTTAAAAAAGGTGACACTTACTGTGAGTGGATGGCATCTCTGATCCAAAATATCCAGGGATCTATTTACATCTCTATAAAAGAAGAAAGTACATCTAAGTGCATTCATTTATATCTTAGTAAAATTCTTGCTAGGAGTAGAGGAGGATGGAGAAAGAGCCCTAACCTTCAACACCCTAGTTTTACAAATTCTTCTCCTGGATTTTGTCCTCTAGACTTCTTTTTATTCAGGGCATCAAGGACTGTGAAGACTTTTCTAAGATGACCAGCTAAAGGTGCCTGTAAGTAATGACTCTCCCCAATGGGCAATGCTAGTAAACCAGCAGTGGTAGGGACTCAAGTCTAGAAATGTAACAAATGTGAATGAGATTCAGACTTCCCAGGCTTTTCCTCCTTCAGGGCTCTATGTTTTCACTATATTTCTTATTTCTGTTAGGTGAGTTTAAAAATGTAGCTGTCTTTTTATAAGAGAGCAGTGTTTTCATTAAACTAATACACTTCCATGAACCAGTGGTTTGCTGTGGTCTGTGACCTCTGCAGATTCTCCAGGCCCTGTTTCAGGAGGCTCAGAGATCAAACTGTCCTTACAAATGCAGGAAGACATTACTTGCTTTTTCACTGTTGGACAACTGGAATGCTTGTATAAAAGCAAAAGAAAGTAAAACTTCTGATTTCTCAGCATGCTTTAAGACTGCCACACCAAGCTGCATCAGCAGTCATTCCACTTATCATTGTTGGAGTTTTAAAAGCCTGCTTCTCTTAAGGTTGTCCTTGGTGAAGCAGTGAAGACTAACGTTAATAAATCTTGGCCCTTCTTTTTCATACTATGAATAAGTGAAAAGTTCACATAAAGTATTTCTGCATACTGAAGTATATTTGTGTTCAGGAAAGGCACTTGTGATTTAGCTATGAACTGAACAGGCTGCTTATCATATAACACCACTTTTAAGTGAAACTACGCTAAGACTGGTGATGATATAAAAGTGTTTTGGATGTTATAAAGAAATCTGAACCGATATTTTCCAAGCTGACCAATGTATAAATCATGTACTGGTAAAACAACTATTCTTTGTGCAAGATGCAGCCGTGAGTATTAATGTAACAATTTCAGAGACACCATGTAAAATCTCACTGAACCTAATTCAAGAAACTAATGGTTACGGTGTTTAATGTAAAGTAAAAGACTATTCACAATTATTGGAAATTTTGAAAAAATACATATATGTCCAACTGTGTATCTCCATGATATTCAGTTGTCTTATTGTTTCTTCAAAAGTAACTGCAAATGTACCATGAAGTATGAGAATCTAATTGTGTTCTATTCAGTCAAATGAAGAGATACACAAGTGTAAAGAGAGATGTATCTTTCAACCAATGAAAAAAGGAACAAAAAATGTTAGAGTTATAAAAGACAGATTTTTTTGGTATTTATGTTAACGAAGTGGTGCATTTTCAGCAGGAATCTTGCCCAACAGTTGACATTTTTATTTATCAGAAAGTTCCTGGCATCCACCAGGCAGAGTGCAGCTACCCTGGCTAAGCACCCTGCCCTGTGCAGGACAGCCCCCCACAACAAAGGATCTCCTAGCTCAAAATATCAACAGGTCCAAGACCAAGAAGCCCTGTGTTAACACCTCCCCCACACACACATATGCACACACAAACGTATACACTTTTAACTCTCAATTTTAATTTTTAAAAGAGTAAATATCAATAAAATCCACAGAACTAAATATTCTCTGGGATCTTTTTTTTCAACAGTTCTAATCCCAGCAACAAAAAACCTAAAATGATTTGCTTCCATATGTTACTAAAAACACACTACAGCTTATGATGCCTGCAGTCGTGACCTAATACTACACTTGGTATAGTGCAAATTAACTGGCATAGTAAGAGAAATTTTTAAGATCTCACCTGTTCTTTATGTGGTAATACACTGCTAAGGTCACACTGTGGAAGGAAAAAAAATTGTTAATGATTGAGTTTATCATTTGTTGAAACTGAGACAAATTTTCAAGAGGAGACCTGGCACCGCCTTGAAGTTCTTGTTTCAGCACAGTACCATATGGGCACTTTCCCATTTTAATTTTTTGGCTTTTAGCAAACATAAATACCAAATGCTAGGCAATGTGCTGTTGAAACACCTTTCTCTTGATTATACATTATTGCATATTTCCTTGTCATTTGGGTTTCTACCCCTAAAACCTCACCCCTGGGAAAATGCTACATATCTGCCCACATGCTTAAACTTAAACCACACAATAGTTTTGTTTTGTTTTGGTACCAGGAATCAAACTCAGGACCTTGTGCTTGCAAGGCAGGTGGTGGAATCACTGACCTGAATCCCCAGGCCACAATAGTTTTCTTTTTTTTTAAGTGGGAAGGCCATGCATTTGTTTCAGTTAACTTACTTCATTATTTACCTGCCCATCATTTTTTCATTATTTCTCTAAAAGTAAATAATAAAAGTGCTGTATACCAAATTTAAAAAATCACTTCTCCAAGACAAGAAAACTTACTAGTAAATGTTAGTGCCCACCAAACTGATGACACCTTTGGCCATCCCGAAATAATCAGTGATAATAATGCAGCATATGTCTATATAGTATAATATTCATGGCAAGTATTTCCAAATTAGTTTTAAGTGAAATATTAACAAACAGACACAACTCTTCAGATAACACTTTGCTGTATTGCTAAGATACACACAGATATGGTATATTAGGGAACACAGGGGTCCTGTGAGGTGTGTTACATGCTTCCACTTGCCCTCACCATCTAAAATGAAGCTTAACATCATCAAGGGGAGGCAAATGTGAATTTTAAAAGAAGTCCAGACAGAGTTTTAAAATTTAAACAGTCTCACATTATATGCATCAAGGACGAACATTTCTGTAGTGTTTCAGTTTTATCTCCAAATTGAGTTTAATCATGGACTGACATCACTCTGAACCTAACTTGAAGTTCCATCCATAAGCCTTTTACAGCCAGCAAGGGGTCAGCAGCAGTTCTCCTATATGAGACTCTGTTAAGCAGTGGTTCCTGAACTTCCCTGCACACTGGAATCATTAAAACCACCCAGGAACCCTCTGGAGAGAGGGCGCTGGCAGCCAGGAGCCCTGTGCCATCCAACCTGCACCATGCCCACCTGTGACCAGCCAGAAGGTGAAGACCCCTTGACACTTGCCATGCCCACAGCAGCAACCCACTCAGCACCTCGGGAGCCTCTGGCCTCCTGGCTGTGCCACACCACAAAGCCACAGGGGACACCAGACCGCCATACTGGTAAGTTAACAGGATCATCACCTCTCATCGGGACCTGGACTATCTTCAGGGGAAGGGCAGCTGGAACCTGCAGTAGAAACTTGCAGAGTTCAACCCTGTAGGAGGACAGGGAACTCAGCTTGGGACTTGAGGCCAGAAATCTCCCTGAATCCCACAGGTGTGTGACTGGCTTGCTGAGACTCATTGACTTATATCTGCACACTGCTGCCCATGTGGTCTATTGTGACAGCAGAGATAGACCCTCAAGGAGGCCCTTCATTTTCATGTTTATCATTTATTTTCAAAATTATTTTTTGCTCTTTTTAATTTTTTTCCTACTCTTTTCAAATTTTTGTTTTTCTCTTCTTTATTTTCTCTTTTCTCTTTCCCTTCTCTCTCACACTCACTTTCTTGCTGTCCCATATTGTTCTTCAACTCCCTTTTTGTTCTTGTTCTGGCCCTAATTTGGATTTCTTCTTTATTTTTCTTTTCTTCTCTTGCCTGTGTCCTCTGGCCTCACTGATAACCTTCCCCTATCCTTCTACCTATCCCTCCCTCCCTCCTCAACTACTTCTAAGTCCCCTTCCTGAAAGGTAAAATTGCTATATTGAAGAATTTATTCACTAAAAACATATGTTGGATTGGTACTCAATTTTGATTTAATTCACACAGTTAAAGGTGATAGATTAATAACTGCCACAAATTGTCATTTTCTAAGTTGTACTTGATGCTATGGTATTGCTGATTGTATCACTTGAGCTAAGGCATTGTGATTGATCTAAGCAGTTGTCCTTTCTACTATAATGAAAATGAGACAGCCTCAGAGTCATTAGAGACTCAAAATCTAAAGACCACCTATATCTGGAAGACACCTCTGAGAACAAATCATGTCATAAGGGTTCTAATTACAAGCAACAAAGATACTTACAATAAGCAATTTCAAAGTATCAACCTAGGAATTAAACCCAGGACAGTACCAAAAACAAAAATGAGAAGACATTTAAGCAAAGGCACAAACTCAGTCTTCCACCCCACCAAGGATAAATTCTGGGGAAACGAGGTGGAAAAGTCTGATAATCAACCACCTGGACATCCTGAACTGATAGCGCAGAAGCAACCAAACATATGAATGAGGCTTTAGAAAAATTCAGAACAGAAATAATTTCCCAGATAACTACAGAGATGGTGGGCCGAGTGAAAGACATGATTAGAGCCTCTAGAACAGAAACAGATTAAAAACAAATAGATGAGCTCAGAAACATGCTGGAAGCCATGAATGCCCAGCATAAGAAAGCAATGGAACCATTATCACCCAGCATAACAGAAATGGAATCCATGAAACAGATTCAAACAGATATCCAGGAGATCAAAAACTCCACTGAAAGTCTACCCAGCAGATTAAGGGAATGTGAAGATAGAATATCAGATATAGAAGACAAGATTGAAGTTAATGAACATGAAAACTGAGATTTCTTCCAAATAGTAAGGGACCACGAGAAATCAATCCAACAGCTGCTAGATGATGCAAAGAAGAATAACATAAGGCTGACGGGAGTCCATGGAAAAGCAGGAGAAAGTACAACTGACAGAAAAATGTGTTCACAGAAGTAACAGTAGAAAACTTCCCAGAGAGAGGTAGATAATCACACATACAGTTAAGTGAGGCATATAGAACTCCAATTAGCCACAATCAAAAAAAAATCTGCACCTAGACATATAATAGTCATGATCCCAGAAACCCAACAGAAGAACAAAATCCTACCAGCAGTTAGAGAAAAGAAACAAATCACCTAAATCACAGTAGACTTCTCAAGACAAACCCTCAAGTCAAGGAGAGCCAGGAGTGAAGTATTTCAAACCCTAAAAGAAAATATCTTCCAACCTAGACTGTTGTATCCCTCAAAATTATCTTTCAAAATTGATGGGGAAATTAAGATACTTAAAATGACAAAGAACACCTGAGAAATTTCATGAACATCAAACTGGCACTCCAAACAATTCTAAACAATATCCTAGAAAAAGACAATGAAGATCACAACTCCATGAGACCCAACAGAGGGAAGCCACCAGACAAGGCAAGAAACTAAAGCAAAAGGGGAAAAAATAAAATAAAGGAGCCAACAATAGCAAAACATTATGATATGAATGACTAAATATCTATCAATTATAACCATCAATGTTAATGGCTTCAATTTACCAATCAAAAGAAATGGACTGGCAGAATGGATTAAGAAGTAAAACCCAACAATATGCTGTATACAAGAAACACACCTAACTTAAAAAGAAATTCATAGACTGAAAGTAAAAGGATGGAAAACAGTTCCCCACGTGATGGGAACCTGGAAAAAAACAGGAGTAGCAATCTTCATTTAGGGACAAAGCAGATTTCAAACCAAAGCTAAGTAAGAGAGAGAAAGATGGTCACTACATCCTTGTGAAGGGAACAATCCAAGAGGAAGTGATGACAATCATAAATATATGTGCACCAAATACGAATGCCCCCAACTATACAAGACAAATATTAATGGACATGAAAGACCAAATAAGCACTAATACAATTGTAGTGGGGGACTTCAATACTCCACCATCACAAATAGACAGATCATCTAGACAAAAAATTAACAACGAAATTCTAGAACTGAACCAATCTATTGAACAAATGGACTTAATAGATGTATACAGAGTGTTCCACCCCACAAAATCAGAATACACATTCTTTTCAGCTGCACACGGGGCATTCTCCAAAATAGACCACATGCTAGCTCATAGGACACCTCTAAATAAATGTAAAAGAAATGAAGTTACCCCTTGTATATTATCAGACCAGAGTGCAATAAAATTGGAGATCAATAACATAAGAAACCACAAAACCCCCACAAACACATGGAAATTGAATAACACCCTCCTGAAAAACCAATGGGTCACAGAGGAAATTAAAGAAGAAATTAGACAGTTTCTACAAGTAAGTGATAATGCCAGTGCAATATAAAGGAATCTATGGGACACAATGAAAGCAGTTCTGTGCAGGAAATTCATAACAGTCAATGGCCATATCAGGAAAACAAGAGAGAACTCCAATTAAGAACCTAATGCAGAACCTCAAGCTCCTATAAAAAGAAGAGCATAACAAACCCGAAGCTCTCACATCCATCATCCCCTGCCACCCGGCCACCCTCCTCGCCAGTCACCCCATCCACATCATCCCTGCCTCTGCCATCCACCCCAGGCCCTTCACCTTCCATACTGTCCTGCATGCTGCCCTCTACCCCACCCTGCTCACTCTTGGGCCTGCAGTGGCAGCTGCCACCGCCCTGCACCTCCACCAGCAGCACCTGCAGCACCGCACCACCCCCCCAGCCAAGCCACAGAAGTCAGGGCATGGGAGTCTCCCCGGGTAGGGCAGGTGCCCCACAGTTCCTCCCTCGGGGTTTGCAGCCAAGAGTGCCAGCCTGAGCACAATGGCCATGCAGGGTCCAGTGTCTGGGAGCCAAAGAGTCGAGCTTTGGCTTGCAGGGATGGGCTGGGAGTGAGGCTGGCTTTGGGTTTACTATCAGGGATCCCCTTCCTCCTTTTGCTGTCCTCCTTTCCTGTGTCTCTGGGCTAGGGAGCTCCTGTCAGTGCTGCCCGCACCTCCAGATCATCACCTCCACATGATCCCCTCTTGCCTCTATTTTTTATGCTGCGCTCCTCCCTTCTTCTGGCCTCAAGACACTCTCCTTGTCTCTGGCCCCCAGAAGGTCCCACGCCATCCACTCCTGCATTCCTGATGCCCTGCTGCTCCCACTCCGCAGCCTGTGGGCAGTGTCTTCCCTGTCCTCAGTGACACATTGCCCAGGTGAGGTGGGAAGGAAATCTGACCTGGAACCAGATGTGACCCAGTCCCTAGCCCAGAAGAGGCCTCCGTGTGGCCCTGGCGTACAGTCCTCCTGCCTGGTTGGTGACCACTGCCTGTGTGCTTCCCAGGGTGGGCACCTGTGATGGGCATATCTTCTGTTGTGTTGGTGTTCCCTTCTTCATTTATAGAATTTTTTAATGTAAAAATTGCTCTCAACTCTATAAAGGCAAATGCTGCTTTTTGTAGCTCATATAAAAAGGTTCCATATTTGTAGTATACTGCAATAA